TCACTGGAATTTGACACAACATTGTAAAATGATTATAAATCAATAAAAAATGTTAAAGTGTAAAAAAAAAGGATGGTTCAACACTGGAAAATCAATTAATGTAATCCATCACATTAACAGACTAAAGATGAAAAAAATCATATGATCACATTAAGAAATGCAGGAAAAGCATTTGGCAAAATCCAATACCTGATTCATGATAAAAACTCTCAGCAAAGTAGGAATAGAGGAGAACTTCCTTGACTTAACAAAGAATATCTATTTAAAAAAAAAGACAACTATAGCTAACATCACATGCTATAGTAAAAATCTGAATGCTTTCTGTCTAAGATCAGGAACAAGACAAGGATGTGTGCTCTCTCACCATTCCCATTCAACATCATACTGGAAGTTCTAGCTAATGCAATAAAAGAGATAAGGAAATAAAAGATAAAAAGATTGGGAAGGAAGAAATAAAACTGTTTTGTTTGGAGATAACATGACTATCTAAGTAGAAAATCCAAAAGTATTGACAAAAAACTTTCTGGAATTAATAAGTGATTATAGCGAGATCACAGGCTACAAGGCTAATAATATACAAAAGTTAACTGCCTTCTTAAACACCAGCAATAAATACTTTGGAATTTGAAATTAAAAATATAAGACCGTTTACATTGGCACCAAAAAATTAAGTATTTAGGTATAAATCTAAGAAAATATGTACAGGATCTATATGAGGAAAATGAAAAATCTCTGATAAAATAAATCAAAGAAAACCTAAATAAACAGAGAGATATTCCATGTTCCTGGACAGGAAAACTCAAAATCGTTAAGATGTCAATTTTCCTCAGCTTGACCTATAGATTCAATGCAATTCCAACCAAACTTCCAGCAAGCTATTTTGTGGTTATCAACAAACTTAATTCTAAAGTGTATATAAAAAGGCAAAAGATCCAGGATAATTAATACAATACTGAAGACAAACAGCGGACTGACACTAACCAAATTTAAGACTTACTACACAGTAATCAAGACAGCGTGGTATTGATGAAAGAATAGATGAATTAATAAATGGAGCAGAATAGAGAACCCAGACGTAGTCCCACACAAACATAGTCAACTGATCTTTGACAAAGGAGCAAAGGCAATTCCATGGAGGTAGGACAGTCTTTTGAGCAGACGGTGCTGGAACTGGACATCCATATGCAAAAAGCAAAACAAAGAATCTGGACATAAAACTTATACTTTTCACAAAAACTAATCCATCTTAGATTAAAAGTAAAACATGAAACTGTATTAACTGCTAGACTATAACAGGAGCAAATCTAGATGACTTTGGGTTTGGTGATGAGTTTTTAGGTATGATACCAAAAGCATGATTCATGAAAGTAAAACTTGATAAATTGGATTTTACTAAAATTAAAAACTTCTCTTCAGTGAAAGACATTGTTAGAAGAATGAAGAGACAGGGGACAAAATGGGAGAAAATATTTGCAAAACACATATCTGATACAGAACTTGTATCTAAAATATACAAAGAACTCTTAGAACTCAACAGTAAGAATAAACAATTCAATTAAAAAATGGAGAAAGATTTGAACAGACATCTCACCAGAGAAGATATACAGATGACAAATAAACACGTGAAAAGATGTTCAGAATCAGATGTCACTAAGGAATTTCAAATTAAAACAACAATGAAATATCACTATATACCTATTAGAATGGCCAAAATCCAACAAACTGTAAATACCAAAACTTGGTGCGGATGAGGAGCAACAAGAAACATATCCATTGCTGGTGGGAGTGCAAAAAGGTAGGAACAGTTTGGCAGTTTCTTATAAAACTAAACATAATCTTACCATACATCTAGCAATCATGCTCCTGGGTATGTATGCAATTGACCTGAAAACTTACGTCCGTACAAAAACCCGCACACAAATATTTCTATCAGCTTTATTCATAATCACCAAAAACTGTAAGCAATCAAGATGTCCTTTATATACCCATATGATGGAATATTATCCAGTAATTAAAAAAGATCTATCAAGTCACAAAGATATAAGGAGGAACCTTAAACATATATTGCTAAGTGAAAGAAGCCAGTCTGGAAAGTCTATATGCTGTACAATTCCAAGTATATGACATTTTGGAAAAGGCAAAACTACAGAGACAGTAAAAAATTAGTGGTTGTCAAGGGCTCTGGGATGAGTGAGAGAGATGAACAGGTGAAGCACAGGGCTTAAAATAACGGTGGTGAAACTGTTCTGTATGAAACCATAAGGATGGACACAGGTCATTATGCATCTGTCAAAACTCACAGAACTATACCATACAAATAATGAACCTTAATATAAACTATGAGCTATAGCTGATAATATATCAACGTTGGTTCATTAATTGTAACAAATGTATCACACTAATGTAAGACTTTAATAATAGAGGAAACTAGGAAGGCGTGAGGGCATGGGCTGGAGTGGGTATATGGAACTCCATGTAATATCTGCTAGATTATTCTATAAACCTAAAACTATACTAAAAAATAAAGTCTATTTTTCTAAAAACAATCTAAAAGCAAAGAGACCAAAATAAATAACTTTTTGGTTCTAATTATAAGAGTAATATATATGCCTTTTTATCATACAAGAGTGATATCAAACAAAATAACATATGGGAAGTATAAAGTTTTTATTACATTATATTTTGCTACTCTTGACCTTTATATAGTCTTAGGTACAGACTGTTTGTAAACAACAAAACATATTTCATTAAAAATCATCCACTGATACTTACACTTTCCTTTGCATGCTGGTGATATTAGATTAAATGCCTTCTTAGAAATGCCATGTCGACTATCTTTTTAAGATTTCTAAAATGTATGTTTTCCAATGTTATCATCTTACTGATCTTACTTAATGGAACTATCTGTGACGCTCTGGGATGTGAACAAGTCATCTTATGTCTCCCACCTCCACAAGCAAGAACAGTGCTTTCACCTTTAGTCTTCACATTGCGATTTTTGAAGTTTATGGGCAAGTTTTAGCTCCGTAGATACGCGTGGAAACACAAGTCTGACATGTAACATCGACATCAGGACTAAACGTCCCAGGACTACAAACCACTGCAGAGGAAAACACAATGGAATAGATTATTATAACTTCACTTAGAGGTATTTTATACCAAGAATACCAACTGCCGTCAATGTCACACCATCCCTATACCTATGTTACACTGAGTAATGTTCAGCCAATTAACAAATGGAAGATTATTCATGAGTTTTAAACATTGTTATCTGATGATCTTAAAGGTAGGAGGAAGTTAGAATCTTAGCTATTTTTTCCTTTAGTATCAGCATTTTACAGTATCTTCTGCAGTGCTCCATTTATGAGCTCCTATTTCTCATTTTCTAGTTCCTATTTCCAGTTTCTAGGTAGGAACATTTTGCTGTCTTTCACAGTATAGTAGCTTAAGCCAGAATACCACAGAAATGTTTTGTAATACAAAAGACTACATTAGGCAGAATTAATATACATGAAGATAATTATATTTAGAAATCTGGACTTTGAATTTTTACTTCCCTTTAACTAAGTATGTTTTTTGGGAAGAGAATCGCTATAAAGATTCAAATCAGTTATGCCAAGTGAATTCTGACTATAAAGCCTAAATATTTAGATATTTATATTTTATAATTACCGCAACAACTAGCGCAATTGCTGTGCAGACCTTCGTTTTTCCCAAAGCCTGGACGACAGCTATCCATACGCATTATATGAAAACTGTGGTCCACAAAATGCATAGCTGGTAGAGTTTTCTTAAAGTCATGCTTGAAAATATATGCTTGGCGCCGGAAAAATTCTTCTATTCGATTTCTTGCCTAAGATTGAAAAATACCAGAGAGAAGTACAATTACTAAACTGTGGACCAAATTTCTCCTCTTGTATCAGAGGCAATGAAATGCAGTATAAGCATGCCATGCTTTACACAGCAGAAGAATTCCTGAAATGATGTGTGTTAATATTAAAAATTAGTCTAGCCTAGACTTTATCAATTATTGTCAATTTATATGTACAAAGGTTAAGAAAACTTAAATTGAGGTTAAAAACACTTGTTTTGAAATATTTGCAGCATGTCTATTCCATATGTAGATAACTGGGAGTTCCTTACTTCTAATTCCAAAGAGCCAAGGAAACCAAAACTTTTCTCTAATCAGCATTACAGACGAATGATGTAAATTTTATCTTTTGAGCATAAAGTTTAAATAATTAACTAGTAATAACTAAATGATTCCCATAAACCATGCATAATATTATGGGTGTAGGCTCAGGGACTAGACTAGGAAAGTGAAGGAAATTTTTAGACTATGTCCTTAGCCTCTGAGGAGGTAAAGGAGAGAGCAGGTATTATCATCAGTACAGATACAATTCTGGAAGAACTACTGGCTTAGCCTGGGATGACATGATTGTAAGGTTGTTCTTCAAGCTGCTGCTTAGTTACCATTTGGAGAACAAAGACCAGTGAACCATCCTTCTGTCATAGGGAAAATACATCATATTAACCAGATAACCTATTCCAAAACAAAACATCTTCAGAACAGCCAAGATGCTCAGAATCTGTTTATAAAACTGAAATGAAGCCAAAAATCAGTAAGACTTCATATTTTAAGTTTTTAAATAGCTTTACTGACTATTCAAATACTTTCCCCTTACACTGAAATTCTTACCTGGAGGATATTATGATTAGTGGTATCTTCACAGTCAACAGACTCATTGCATGTACCTTTCCACCTCGGTGCAAAAGGATTAACTGGAGGGGGAAAAACAACATCTTCACAAAAGGATTCTAAGAAGTTACAAACATTCCAGTAAAGCTCCAAATGCTGAATTCAGTATGCATGTGTGCATGTGTTTAATCTGTGTCATTCTAGTAATAAAGGAAAGGTTCACAATTTGAATCATTTATACATTATGATTTCACTCCATCTGGGGGCTAATGGAGGTAACTACAAGGCTTTAGAGTGAATAGATATAAGGTCCTACTGTATATAGCACAGGGAACTATATTCAGTGCCTTGTAATGGCCCATAATGAACAAGAATATGAAAAGTGTATGTGTGTGTGTATATATTATATATAATATTAACCTGGGGAGCTATATAATATTGCAGATATCCTATTCCAAAACAAAACATCTTTATATATATATATATAAATGAATCACTATGCTGTATACCAGAAATCAACACATTGTAAATTGACTATACTTCATTAAAAAAATAAATTAAATAAATAGAAATAAATTTAGTTTGGTTTCTCCCTTTTGCTAAGTTCTCAAAAACACAATTTAAAATTCTATAAGAAGTTATAAGTTAAATATTAGCTGCTTAAAGGCCATATTTATAAAATGAAATTGACTTCTAAAAAGCAACAAATATCATAGGTAAATATGAAGGTAAATAATTAATGTGTTAATTTTTAAAATCACAACCAGGCTAAGACCAACTGTACACTTTAGTTCTTAACAAACATTTAAGGCCTACTATTTGTAAGCTATCTTATATTAATATGGTAATTAATTCTGTAATCAAGATTTAAACTCATAAAATTAAAGAAACATGAAAAAAATTTTACCTTGAAAGGCTATAAACAGCTCATGAGTGAGGCCATGTTTTGGAATTTTAACAAAATGGCATTTATATGATGGTTCTATGATATGGCATGACAAATCAGAAATTAAATTATTCAAGATTTTCTTCAGCACTTTAAAAAGCAGATCATTATATTTTCCTACACAAGATTTTGTGGTAAAACGTACAGCTATCTGATATGCATAATCAGGTTCCCGATAGGCTTTAAAAAAAGATAAGAATAAAAAACAATCATGCCTAGCATTACTTTTCAAATAACAGGTAATATTAAATCCCACTATCTTGCAAACCAGCACAGAAACTTACTTTATCTAATAAAATATTTTAACAGTTTGTCCTCACAAAAAGATAAAAAACTAGTAACTTTAATGAAAAAAGGTTATTTTCATCTAATATATTATCTACTTCATACAAGTGAAGATATGGCTTTTGTGGGCTGGCTATATATATGTTACAAGTGTCAAGAAAAAAATAAGATTTTGTTAGGGAGGGTCTTAATTTATAGAAGTGTCACTGCTATCAGCACAGTCCAGTGAAAAGAATCATTAATTTGCTTTTATAGATTTGAGCATCAATTTTTAAATTACCTGGCGATATTGTGATAAAATAGATTGTGCCTGCATACGCAGACAGTGGGAAGTGGGACGCTGAAAGAGGATTATTTAGGACACACTATTTTGATGTCAATTTTAGAGTTCTCCTAGTCAAATACAGCCCCAAAACTCTGTAAGTCATAATGATTATACATAACAGACTCATTTTCACTAAATGAAGAAACCATATACTTAATTCTGACCCAAACTAAATGTATAAGTTAAACTGCGCCTGTATTCTTACCAAAAAGCATAAAGTCGTATCTCTGCTTTACTGTCTTTTCTTCTTGGGTTTCTGCTTTGACAATCTTATAAGAAAGAGTGCATGTGTAAAGTCCGGACAAAGGCTCCAGAAAGTCTTTTACCAGCAGCTTTCCTGTTTTAGTTATATTTATTCTACTAGTTCCTAAACAGAAGTAGTAAATTACTTGGTTATTTAACATGTAACAATTCACACATTATTTAGTAAACTTGGGGTTACAAATAAATACAAAAAATTAAAAATTAATGGGCTATTTTAACTTCATGATTTCAACTAAATCTTAATTCTGTGGTATTGCTCAATCGAAAACTACAGGAGATAAGTACACTTTTGAAATATATTTTGGTTTTCTTTAATTTATTTCTTGGCATCTAATTTTGATGGATTTATGCCAGTAATTCAGTAAGGGAGATTACACTGCTTTGTGACACTATGCAATTTTTTCACCTAAGACAGGAAGTAATAATGCTTCTATTCCAAGAAACCCTTCTAACCATGACAAATTATATATTAATTACCTCCTCTCCTACCACAGGTGCTTTTATCACATTTATCACAAGGATAAATCTTAGGTTTTATAAAAACTTCTGAACTAATACAGCTCTGGGGACTAACGTACAAAAAGTACTGCTTTAGTTTTTGCATAAGGAGAAAGTAAGACCATAATATAAATATGATTTAACTATGGAGTAAGTGAAACTGCAGTTAAAATTAAACTTCAATTTGTTTATTCCAATAAGTGACAGTGCATTTCTTTAAAAAGTGTTTAAGTCATTTAGAAAAGGAGATATTAAAATCAAATGATTTACCTGTTAATGGTTTTTCATTAGGCCCAATCCATAAATAGGTGGGGTCCACTGTTTCCTTTTGAGCACGTTTAAAATCAGTACAGAGAAGGACTGGGCTATTGTGATGTAATTCTACATATAATTTCACTGTGACAAAATACAACAATATATAACTACATTATATAGCAAAATTAAATTAAGAAATACACTTCCTACCATTTTGTCCCAAAGTTGCTTTGATTAGTTCTTTTTGGAGTTCACTATCTTAAAAATCAGCATATAATTATAACACTTAGAATGCTGAAGTCCTTTTTGCTTCTCATAGTAGATTTTTAAAACTCTGGACTGCTAGGGAGTCAATTTTTTTCTTCTTTCTGTGATATTATTGTGTTATTTATGAAAAAGTACGTAACACATTTACAAGTTGGTTTTAATGCACAGATTCAGAACCTTCAGAAATAAAAACTTTTGAGGTTAGTGGAATCATTTCAAAGATCAGAAAAGGATCTTTTTGGTTGCGAAACTATTTTAAAGATGATCATTGTCATCCCCTAGGCAAACCTGATATTTAACTATAAATGTCCTCTGTTAGGAACAATAATTAAGCCGATGTGGGGCATACAAGGAAGATTTTCGGCAGTAACTTATTCTGCTTCGGATTTGATGGAAGCAGAAATAATGTGTTTGGAAACAACACAGGCCCATAAGATACTAGTTTTAAAGCCTACTGAACGCCAGGCTCTGAACATAAAGAAGACACCATCCTACAATTTGGTGGTGGCAGGGAAGTGGAGTGTCTCCTTCCAAACACGGAGAGATTCCAAACCTGACAAATGCTACGAACTGGCCTAAAGTTACCTAAAGTTAGCCTTAGTAACCAGTTTTCCTTGGGGAGTGTGAGAAAGTTTCAACACAGTGACAACTCACATTAGAGCTGAGCCGTAAAGGATGTGTAGGATTTCTGGTTAGTAAGGGAAGGGCTAAGGGCATTCCAAACAGAGGGACTTCCAGCCCCACAAAGCACTCCTCTGCGTGGGCCTCGCACTTTGCTAAGCAACAGGGACACCTAGAAGAGAGGTGGTGTCAGAGAAAGAGGTGTGGATTGAATCCTAGCTCCTTACAAGCTGTGCGGCTTTAGGCAAGGAGATACAACTGAGGTGCAGTAGCGTCGCTCTAAAGATGAAACGATGTAACCATCGAGAAGTGCCAAGCACACGGCAGGCGTTCAATAAACGTTCGCTCCATCTCCCTCCGAGGGAAGAACCTTAGCAGAACCACGGCACCCCCGGCTCTTCGGATACACTGCGAGTGAAGAGGTCCTTATTACCTGGGCGTCCCACTTTGCCATAAACGAAGCCTTCCTTAGTGATTATGGAAGAACGCTGCCATCCAACTGCGGAGGAAAGAAACCACTGACTTTTTACGTAGAAGAGGAGCCAGGGCTCAGACTAGGGCAGGGCGGGGCGAAGCAGAGGAGGCAGGATGGGGACGAGGGGAGAGGCCTAGGGGCAGGGCGGGAGGAGCCCCACCTCCTGCGAAGTACCAAAGCACCGCGGAGAGAAGGACCCACGCTCGCATCACGGTTCAGGGGTTAGTGTCGCAGGAGGCGTCGATGGGGCGGGCTCCTTTCTACCTCAGCCCCGGCACAACGCCTCCCCACTCTCTCCTCCGCACAGCGGGGCAAACCGCCAGTGGTCAGCCCCGTTATCCGTCCTTCGCTACCGCGAGAGCCGACGCG